ACACACACACACACACACACACACACACAGCACAGATAAAAATAAATATCTCCAGCTATGTCCTTTACTATTGCTTTTGTATGTGTGACTTTAGGGCTGACACTTTATATTGGATAACCAGTTAGGGGACTCATCCCGGGGAGAGGCGAATTTTTCCTCTCTCTGCAGTCATATTTGCCTGTAGTTTTTTGTCTAGGGATGGGTCTTCATGACACTTCCCCTGTCTGTGTTAGCATGCCTATTGGCGGTGGTGTTCAAGTCTTTGTTAGGCAGCCATATTATGAGGTATCCTGTGGCATAGTTTCTGTGTCATTTCTAGAACACATAATCTCACAGCAGATTTCCTGTCCCTCTGGCTCTTATGGTCATTCCATACCTTTATCCGCAATGTATATGGTTTTGAATTTGATTTGAATTGGCAGGGAAGGCTATGACTGTTTTAACGATACCCTTTGTTTAGCGTGCAGGCTACCACCCATACCTCGGTTGTACAGTGATGGCCTTAGCTGTCCTCCAGCCTCTGCTGGCAGCCTTCAGACCACCTTTACATGACTCAAGGTATGGTCAGCTCATGCAGATAAACACCCTTACTGTGGGTCGTTAGGTAGGCACTGATTCTTTTTTCAAAGTAGAGACACTTTGCATTTTTAGAATGTAGTGATTGACCGTATTTGGATGTATGGGTTTTAAAATGGGTTTCAGATATCCGCATGTTTCTTATTCTCTTGGGGATCAATTATTATTCCATTGTGTTAAAGACTGCTGCCTGGTTCTTTATTTTGGTAGGAGGCAAGTGTTCAACTGGACTCATTGGGGTGTGGGGACAGCCGCTAGAATAACAGCAGGTAAGAAACTGCAGTGCCACTTACTCATATATAATTGCTGGCTGTTTACACAGCAAGTTGTAATTTGGCTTAAATGATTTTAGATGTATTAGTAATTGGGTTAATTGGTTGTTGAGGAAAAATCAGCCTGAAACATTGAAATCCAGAAAGTAATTTCTACAAGTAACTATTTAAGTCATTATTTAAGCTTAAAGTTAAAAAAAAAAAGACTTTATAACTGCTCCAGCACCTCCCCCTTTCTCATTTTCTCACATTTGCCTTTGCAAACAAATTAGGTTATGATCAGGACCTTACACAGGGCAAGCACAGATCCCTTGGGTTGAGACGGTTGAAATGAGCTGTGTATAAGCCCTCTAACCCCCGGCTGGTTCCCTACCGTTTGTACTTGCAGGGCAGGAGGTTCCAGAAGGCAGGCAGGTATTACCTGACACATGTTTTTCTTTTCAGTACTGGGGATTGCACCCAGGTTCTCATAGATGGTCGGTAAGCACACTACCGCGGAGCTACGTCCCCAGGCCTTTTTATAGTTTTTGTTTTGAGACTGGGTCTCACCAGTTTGTCAAGTCTAGCCTTGACTTTACTTTGTAGCTCACATAGTCCTTGGACTTGTAATCCTCCTGCTTCAGCCTCCCAAACAGCTGGATATATAAGGCTGTGCCAGGTACATCTTGTACTTGATCCCTAGGGAGGCACCCTGCCACCTGTACATTTCTGTCGCTCGTGGGATGACCTGGGGGCCAGTGGTGAGGGCAGCAGCCATTTTTTCATTGTTCCCTTTTCTTTATTGCAGACTCACGTTTCTGGAAAGGCTAGTTAGGTACCTTTGTTGTTATCGATGTTGGGTATGGAACCCAGTGCTTTGCACCTGCTGGCTAGTACTCTACCCCTGAGCTACATCCAGTCTGTGCATGCTGTCTTAGCGATTGATAGATCACAATGTCCTCTCTTGTCTTTTGAAGTCTTATAATAAAGACCAAATAATCTTAGCCCTAAAGATTATTCTTTCAAAAATGTTTAATATGTATTATTATAAATTAAACATTAAATATATTAAACACATATATTAAACATTAAATATATATTTATATATGTACATACATATGTATATATACCCATATATTATACACATATAATATAAAAATATATTTATATTTGTATATATACATATGTATATACATGTATACATACATATACACATATATATATATACATATATTTGCTTTTTGAGACAGGTTTTCTCTGTTTAGCCTTGGCTGACCTGGAACTCACTTTGTAGACCAGGCTTGCCTCAAACTCAGAGATCCACCTGCCTCCCTAGAGCTGGGATTAAAGGTGTGTGCCACCACTGCCTGTGTAAATACACGTGTAATATATTTTAATTGATGTAATTACACAATTATTAGTTTTACTGGGCACTACATTTGAGCACTTCTTTTCTCTATACAGTGGCAGCAATGTTCCTAGGAATGGATTTACCAGGATTGAATCTTCCCAGTCCACAGAAGACCTACGCAATGATGGGGTTTGTGGTCTGGCACATCGGGACTGAGGTCATTCTGGAGATGCATGCTTATCGGCTCTCTAGAAAAGGTAACCTGCTTGGAACGTCCTACTGCGAGGCTGGAGAGGTGTTGCAGGTAGTACAAACACAAAGATCTGAGTTCAAATCTCCAGCATTCACTTAAAAGAGCCAGGCATGGGCAGGTATCAGTAACACCGTGCTGTGTGAAAACAGATACAGGAGAGTTGCTGGGATCTTCTGGCTGCCAGCCCCGCTCCAAGTTCAGTGAGAGACCCTGACTGCAGGAAATAAGACAGAGACTCCCCATGTGTGCCTGTGTGCTTGCACATGGCACAAATGCAAACACACGCATTACACACCCACATATGCATATGTACACACACACAACCAAGGTTCAGAAAGTTTGCAACATTTAATAGCTTGAAATGACCAAATCTATGTCCTATAAAATTGAGGGGTGCCAGGCTTCAGGTTTTATCTTGTTTTTGTGATGGCGGGTTTACTTGCATGTTGCCTTTCTTATAAGCTTACATTGATCTTGACAGTTGAAATACTGGACAACGATAGAATTCAGATCCTTCAGTCACTGACTGTTGCTGAAGCAGAGGTGAGATTTTCTTCTCTTGCTTATTGACACAAACGTTAATGATGGTGCTTATTTTTGCTAAGTCTCAGTTTTTATTTCAGGGTCATGTTTTTAAGAAGGTGGTGTTGGTGGTTTACATATGTGGGAATGTGACTTTTCTCATGATATTCTTATCTGCAATCAACCACGTATGAATCTGAAAAGACTCTTATTTGTTGTGAGCCTGAGTCATGACGATCATCAAAATGAGAGACTGACCATCTGGAGCACATACTAACTCAGAAGACCCATGGGCATCGATATAGAGGACTTCTGAGGTCTGGTTTTTCCAGCTTACGTTCAAGTGAGCTAAATAACCTGTGCATTGATGTCCATCAAGCCTTTATGTGTAAATTCTGCATCCTGAAGGGAACATTCGTACCTGAGAAGACATGATCTCAACATCCCATGCCAGATTTAAAGCGGTAAACTGGAATGACTAGCAAGTGAAGACAATTATCTCAGGCAAGGAATAAATGGAGATCGTATCTTTGGGAATGAGACAGGTTTTATGTAGCCCAGGCTGGCCTCTTACTGACTGTATAACCAAAGAAACCCAGAACCTCTAATCTTCCTGCCTGTGCTTTCTGGGTGGTGAGATTACAGGTGTGCACCACCACTATATCTGGTTTTATTGACGATGCTGCTGTGGTACTTTAAAGAATACATTTATGTTGACTAGTTTATTTAAGAGATTTAATCTTAGATTTTTAAAACAATTTACTACATTTTGTTTTTATGCATACACACACACACACACCAAACAAATAAAATCTATGAGAAAAACAAAACAAAACCCCCAAAAACCCACATGTTTTCTGACCAGTGATTGAGACATTTTCTCTCGTTTGTGTGCAGTGGTTGATTTATTCAATGGGCATTTCATTAACATTTAGTTATATTGTGGATATTATATGTTCTTATTTTTAGCAGTTAAATGTAGGTAGGTACCCCCTGATTAGAGATCTCATTTATTTTTCATCCGTGGAGCTGACATGACATCTTATGTCCTGTTTCAGCCGTGAGATCAGTCCATATGGGAGCTAGAGAACAGAGCCGTGAATTTCAGTCGCGAAACCTCACCCTTGTGAACGTATGCGGCAGGTGTTCTAGTCTCTTGAAGATAAACGAACATGGATGGGTTTCTTTGGAAGACATCCCTGGTGCTCTAGTGACCTAGCACAGGCGGTGCTGTGTTCCCTCTTCCTCGGTCATTTTCTATCTCAGTGTTTGCTATGAGGACTTACAGCCAGTGGGTGGCGCTGTAATACCGGAGGACTCATTTGTTATACCCTACAGCTCTGGATCGTTATTTTCTCTCTCTCTCTCTCTCTCTCTCTCTCTCTCTCTCTCTCTCTCTCTCTCTCTCTCTCTCTCTCTCTCTCTCTCTCTCTGTCTCTCTCTCTGTCTCTCTCTCTGTCTCCCTCCCT